AGCCTAAGCATTAATTCAACTCATAAATCCATCTGTAAATTCTTCCACAAATTATTTGCGCAAAAATTTTTACAAGTTACTCATTACTACTAATAAAGTTCTATAAAAATTACTCATTATTATTATCAATAATAATAATAATAAGATTTAAGGATTTTTTTTATTGCTAATAAAATTTTAACAAATCATTATCACTAATATTGTCATCCAGTTCTGTAACATGAGCATTATCCCATTAATTATAATGAATTATAATATTTTAAAAGAGCATAAAATTTTAACAGTTTAGAGGAATGAAAAACAATTAAAAAAGGAGTTGCTAAATAACTGCTAAATAAATGAGAAAGAGTAGGAGAGAAAAGAACAGAGAGAGACAAAAGAAATAGAAAATTTGGGGTTTTCGAACTGAAAAAATATATACAAATTACATGAATAATGTGAGAAAAATGTAAATATTATATTTAATGTGACTCATTTCACTCGAAAAACAATGTATCTGATATGAATCATTTTGGAACAGATGGCATTGCATCAACAGAAAATTTGAGTTATACAATTTCCAGTTTAATTTTTACAATTCATTTGTTAGGTAAATCAGTTGAGTGAACAGAAATACACAAAATGTTTATTCATAACCGAAATGTTTACGGTTTTTCTGTCTTTTAAAAATAAAATATGAATATACACATACATACACACAATACTAGCTATACGTATTAACTAAGGAGAATAATAATCTTCAAATTTTCTGATAGAAAAAAGAAACTAATTGATAGAGTAGCTTCCTTTTAGCCTAACTTCACAATGACTTTATAATTAATTAAATCAAATGTTAGTCTTCCTTTAGTTATAATGCTAAGTTGTTGTAGTAATCCTTTACTTTTCAATACAATGTAAATTTCAAATAATTGAAGTCAACACATGATTATGAAGTAAATGGTCTCCCTTATTTCGAAGTTCACTATTTAGCACTGTTTTGAGAAATGAATTATTAGATACAAATTTAAAGTGGTTACTCAAGTTAAAATTCAAAAACTAAGCAAGTTTAGTTGGCAAATAACTTACTATACATACCTTATTTTCAGGAAAATTTTGTCGTTCACCAAGTTCAGGTCGAAGCAGGAAAAAATCACCATCATTAATCTGAAAATATATAATTTTTTCAGTGAAAACTAATTAGATTATGAAGTAATGGAAGATAATTCTTTATTATTGTAAATTTAAAAGATATAAGTCGACAGAAAAGTAACAATTTGGATTGTAAAAATGGTTAACACAATTTTTTTCTTTTTTTGAGACATTTCAAAGAAAAATTAACGCTAAATTAGGTAATGCAAAAGAATGATAAAATTTATTTCGTCCATGAAGGATTTTTCGACAGATTATAGCAAATATGAGTACTTATTTGTAGTATTTGTACTATTCTCATTCATATTTTTTATGCGACACTTTTTTTTTTCTTCCTTAAATTATCCATAATGAAGCAAATAATTCGTCCAAAAAGGAATAGAAAGAGGAACAAAATTAGATGATGGATAAAGTCGAAAGAAAAGATGAAGAATATAAACAAATATTCGAAGGATATTTGGTAATAAAAATTAAAAAATAACATTGAATTAGGCAAAAAATACGAAATTCAAAAAGTGGGAAATGAAACTTTTTAAAAAAAGACAAACAAGCAATGTTATTCACTCTATTTCTAATAGATTTATTTACAGACAAAATGAATAAAAATAAATCTTCACAACTTCTGATTTTTAAAACTATTAACATCTGTTTTGCTTATTGTTAACATATGAAGCAACAACAACCTTTTAAACATATTGTAAAACATTCTTGTTTCTTTGTTGATGAAAAAAATGAGAAAAGGAAGTTCTCGGACTTTTATAGGAAATGTATTACATGCGGGACGATCTTTGATCTTCTATCTTGGAATAGTTTAATTCTGAACAAAAGGCGGTTAATTTCAAAAATGTAAATGAAATTTGATTTTTGCACACAAAAAGGAGCGACAGGAAAGATATAAAATAATACAAAGCAAATTTGTCAAATAGACAAAATAATCTTTGAAAAAGTATTGGGGGGAAGAAGTTGAAAAATTACATTTCAAAAACTTATTGAAGGATGGCATTTATGTTTGAAATGTTAGGCTTTATTTCATATTTCAAGTTTGATTTTTCTACTCCTTTGTTATCGCTGCACATTTCAATATGCTTTGTTGCACGTAACATGTTTAAAAGTATAGTTAGAGAAAAGGCATTTTTCTTATTATATTGAAAGGCCTTTTTTGTCAATATTGATAATGATGCTTCAGAGTATTCTATATAAAGAAATCAATTGATGAATTGCAGGAATTAGTCAGGCGAGCAATTTTGAAAATGATTCAGAATGTTATGTGCAAGAATTCTGTTCTATTTTATCTCTTCCTAATAAACAATTGATAAAATATTTAATAAGATAAAAATATTATTCAAATAAATGATAATTTATAATTTCAATCACTGATAAATGGAATAATTCTTTTTTCTTAATGAAGTATATAAATGAGCAAACAGATAGATTAAAACTTAGTGCTCAAGAAGTATAATTTATATTTATAATATTAAAGAAAAAGAAAAATTTCTATGAAAAAATTACCACAGTTCGTTCATATGTTTGCAAATTTTCATCGAATCCACATTCAGTCTGAAAAAAAAAGCAATTAACCAGCAAAATTATGTAACCAAGTTTTAATAAGTAATTTAACAAATATTTAATAAATATTTTAGCTTTTTAATAAAAAAAAAAATGAAACAAATTTTGAGTCTAACTATTATAAAGCTTTGAAAGTTTTAAAATACATTTTGTACATGAAACTATTAATATATATCTTTAAAGTAATTGATTTTATTTATCCATATATACATTTTAATCAATAATTCATATTTAAAAAAAGCATTGCAGTAGTTTTACAGAGCAAAATAAGATGTTTTCTAGTTTGTCCAGGACCAGGAAAATACTGGTTTCCGGAAAAATTGTTAACGCTATTTCTAAATCACAAACATTTTGAATCCGTGTGCAAATATTATTTCGGTGACTGTTTAATGTAAATATAACCAGTAGCAGTTCTCATCACTTATGAACAATACATTTTGAGTGAAAAAAATAATAATAGAATAAATTTCCAAACTTCAACTATTTATAATTGCTAATTCGTTGACTGAGTAAAATGATAACATTTTGTTTAACTGAACTAAAATTCTAAAATATGGTTGACTAGTCCCAAATGCTTCACAAAATAATCATTTGTTAATCAGTAATATCACATATTGTTAATCAGTAATACAACACATTTTGATCTTTGTTGCACTATTCAGTCAGACATATATTACTTTTCAGAATCAATTAATAATTTCCGATTTTACAGTAAATTCATTTAATATCATAAATTGATTGCAAAGGAAAAAAAGAAGTTTAATAATTTTCTAATCAAAAAAAGGTAAGTGTGATTAATTAGCTGAGCAAGATAGAAATCTAAATATAAAAACATATTTTTAAAAAAAAAAAGATACTAAAAAACGACAAACTTTACATGTGTACTAAAATTCGATATTATATTATTTTCAATATAAGAAAAACAATTACAGTCCTTTTTTTCTTATCATTTCTGCTATTTAATAGATCTCTTCTATTTTTAACAAATTGTAGAAATATAGATAAGTAGATAAATAATTATATCATTTTTAATAAAAGAAAAATGTTTTTTTTTTTTCTTACCACTTCTATTATTTAATAGATTTCTTTTAATTTACTGAAAATAAAATATGAAAAAGAAAGAAAAAGCAAAAAAAGGTGAATAAATAAATGTGATTGACATTGAGGAAGTATTAAGAAATGTTGAGAAACCTCTTGAACTTACATTAGTATAGTACATTAGGGAAATTCCTAACATAATGTACAACACATCCAAGAAATATACTCATTTAAAAGATCATTAATGCTATTATTAAACAAGATGTTTAACAAAAAATTTTAAACTACCAGCATTAAATGCTACTCACTACTACTGCATAAAATGACTCCTAATATTATAAATAAGGTAAACTGGTTAAATTTATTGCAATTATTTGAGAAATTTTGAAAACAAACATAAATCATAGTGAATTTTTCCGAATCAAAATTCTTTAAAAAAAAAAAACAAAAAAATGTTTCTACAGAAGTTAATACATAAATTTCAATTGTGCAAATCCAGAGAATTTTTTAATCATTCCTCATTTTGGAGAATAAAAACATTATTATTTATTTTTTCTATTATCACTTATTATCTAATACGATACACAACACTTAGTGTTTGGAACAGGAATGTGAATACTCATTGCATATTTACAACAGCGCGCCAATATCAACAATACATACTAATGAAATGTGACAAATACTAGATGAGAGGAAAAATTTTCACTCTCATTTATTTTTCTCATATTGATATAAAATGTTACGTTGCATTTAAATGACTACTACATAGCATTGAATGAAAACATTAAAGAAATTTCATTGCTTGCTTATCAAACACTAATTTACATCACTGATTTATCATATAGTATTATTCATCGATCCTTAATGAATTATCGTTGTATCACTTATATTCACATTACTATCAATGAAACATAGCTTTTTTTTTCTTGCTACTTCTCAGCAAACTTAACTATGCTACTAGATAATAATGAAAATTATTTGCTACAAAATATTCATTGACTTTCTCAAACGAGAATCAGAATACAGTAAGTGATATCCGAATACATTTCACTTAGTTTTAATTAATGAAATCTTCATCCAAAAACAACAACTCTCAGTAAAATCCACAGCCAATTACAGATAAATCTCAACTATGATGGGGAGCAATTTAGAAAGCGAAATTATAAAAAGTTGAAGTGAAAGAAAAAAGTGTACGAGAAATTGGAATCCTTTTGATTAAATTTATTTGCTAAACAAGTGCATTTCTTTTTTTCTAAGATAGAATAAAGTCAAGAACATACCATTAAATTAGCTTTTCGAATCAGTCGTCGTATTGGAAAGGCCATACAACCGAGCATTTGTTTCCGCCTGTAAAAAGAATTGGAAAAGAAGGAAAACTAATATAAATGTGTAAAAAAGTAACAAATCTTGATAATTCATGAATAGAATTGAAATTCTAATTCCATCATACTAAGACAATATATTAATTTATTGAGTTCTTCTTGCATTAAGATATTTTTAATGACAATTTTACCAACGAATTGGATTGAATAAATGGTTAAAATTTTCCGTTTTTTTCCAAAATATTATTGCTCTAATCGAAAACACCGCAATAATATCGCACAGAATAATTGAATAATTCTGATTGATACACGTGTATATATCATTACTTATATCACTGGCACTTTTCAAACCAGCTGATAAGAAAATCCGAATCAATGATAACTTGAACTTAAATTGAGTCTAGCCACCAACTGCACTAATCGAAGCTATTCAGTTTGCTGGTAGTAATTGGCATGAGTTTATACAGTGAACTGTCCAGGCACTTCAGCAAAAAAAAAAAAAAAAAAAAAAAAAGCGAAAACATTTAAAGTTCATTTCAATTAAATTCTTTAAATTACAGTCATAATTTTTAATATATATATAGAAATAAAATGAGAGGAAGAAGCTTACACTGAATTTCCCGCATTGGTAATCCATACACTAACGCTTAATAAATCATGATGACGATAATGATTTCGCCGTAACTGACTGAAAATATTGCTACTATATGAAAGCAATTAATATTTTAATTTAAACTTCCAAGAAATATTTGTTGCCATTTTTAAAATTATTCACTTATAACAATACTTCTAGATGTGAAATGACATTTGTATTTCTAACGTTAGCTTTTAATAAAGTACATTTATCAAGACAACCATAGCTACTTTTTAATCGTATGTTTTGTGATTATACATTTTGAATACTTACAATGTAAAATTCTCATGAAATTGAGGACGATTGCTGAGAAGTACAAGACGAGTACGAAAGCTTTTTTCTTGAGCATTATGACTAAAACGATCCTCCGAACTTGATCGTATCCGTTTATTGTATACCGGATTGGGTCTTATTTCAATCTAGATTAAAATAATAATCAAAGACCGGAAACTTATTTAAAAAAGGTTGTAAGCGGGGAGATTTTAATTTAAGTTTTCGCTCTGAAACAAACAGTGGTGAAAACTTATATCATTGATTGCAATATGTTTTCACCACCGCATATCTCGCATCTTCACAGAGTTTTTCACTCTGAGCAATTTGTGCAAATTTGCAAAGAGAAAGATGAGAAAAGTAAATAATGAGCATGAACATATATAGGATGAAAACTATAATATTTGAAAATTGAAGGACATAATAAGATTATATCACATCATAAAGAGAACCAAATGAAAGTATTAGACTAATGTGACAAATTAAGAGGATTTCTGAATGACATGGAACTAATTAAGAGATCCAGAAATAAGCTAAAACTAAAACATGCTAAAATACAGATAAATGTTAGTTTCGTTCAATAACTGATAAAGTGTGCACAAAACGGGAAAAAATGAAGGAAGAAATCTTGAGCCAAAATGCAATAGAATGGACAATCATAGAATAATAAAATGATGGAACTCACCCGAACATATGAAGAGGCTTGCGAAATTGCAGGATCCAGAAAATATACTGCTCGTACAACACTAACAGTTAAATAACATCCAGAAATTGACATCGTCAATTCCAGTTTACCTTTGCAACCAATTCTACGAGCAAACGGCGTTGGTAGTCCAAAATGATCTGATTTCCAATTTATACTCGACAAGCAGCCACTAGAAAGAACTTCTGACTGTGGTCGACTCCAATCCTTTCGAGGAGTTTGCTAAAATTATAAATTTCGAAGGACTATAAAATTATAAGTAAAATTTCAAAGGATTGTAAAGCTAAACAGTAATATAAAATACAAACTATTTGTAAGTTATGTGTACAATGGAAGATCAGACAAGAACAAGAACGGTCAAATTAGCAGGAAATTTTAAACTGTCAATTTCTTAAAAAGTCTTTAAACTTTTCAGTTTTTAGGTTACATTAAATTTCTTCAATAACTTTTGAGACAATTTACCTCTTCAAAAAAACTTGCAGGTCTCTCCAATGTATCATACATTATATTATTAAACGTGCTGAGAACAGAATTCCGACAAAGTCTACTTGGTGACACTGATGTTGCAGGAGTTGATGTTGATATAGTCTAAAAGTATCGAGAATCATTTGCTGTGAATTCCTTTCTTTATTTCTTTAAATTTTACAACAAAGAGTAGATAACAATTCTAATAAATATAATTACTTTCAAATGATGAGGATTTGTTTTTGGTAAACCAATAGAAGTTGCTGTTGACGTAGCTAATGGATGCCAATTCCTAGTCAGTTGCAATGAGGGTACTTTCGGGATTTCATCAGATGCATCATTGATTGGTGATAGTTCCTAGGTTAGTTATGAAAAATATCACCGCTTTAGACTTGAAATTTTATGAATAAATTTATGATCAATGTCAAATAAACATAAGTTGACATAGCAAGCTAAGTTTCTTTGAAGTACATATTTTTGAAACATAAGTACACGTCTCTTATAATCTTTTCTCGGTTAGCCATATGATTATATTAAATATTTATGGGACACTTTATTTACCTCAATCATGCTTAAACCTCGAAGTAATGAGGGAGGAGGAGAGCGATGCCTTCGGTCGCTAAATTCAGAATCATCATCCTCATTTGTTGTTTCAGTTTCATAGGACGATGAATGATCAATCGGTGTTATCATTGGCAATGACCCATAACGTGTTCGTGCGCGAGCTCCAATTCCACAAGGTACTTGGCTTCTTCGTGTTCTGAAATACGGTGAATTAAGATGTATCGTTCCGAATTAGTCGAAATGATTGCTAATGTGGAAAAGATGAGCAAAAACTGTGCTTTAAAATTGTTTTAATACCTGATTACTTGGGATTTGGAAGATATTTGTAAAGAAAAAAATCAAACCTCATTGTAGGCTTATTTATCCAATTGCGGTTAGCGCCTCGAACAACCGGTATTGGTTGACAAAAGTCACTATCGGAGGTAAGATCAGAAACACTTTCCATCGCCGTATCTTAAGTTTTAATCTTTGATAAAGCAAAAAATATTGAATAATACTTATTTTGGTAGCGCTTTCAAATTCGGCTGACGTACTTTTTTTCACTCGAAGGCTGCTTATCGATATTTATTTGATGGATATTAATTTATTTGACCTTGGACTATCTCGCCTAATTGAAATAAGACCTATAAAAATTTTATCAATTTAACCGCCAATGCGGTTTCTCCTTAAAAATTTCCGTGGAGGTCATACAAAATTAGTACATGGAGTTAAATCAAAATTCCTCAATAAATTTGAAACTTCTCCTCACAATAGGGGCACACCTTTTGCGTTGAAAAATCAGCAGTCTTTTTCAGACAATTTTTTAAATATTTCAGAGCAAATAGTGAAATAAATAACAATTTTAATCTAATTCAGTCAAATAAAACTTTTAGAACCCTTTACGTCAATGTTATTTTTTTTAAACGACGAATATGATCAATTATTCGCTTGCTATTTTAATTAATTTAAATAATTTTGTAGGAGAAAAAATGGAATAATTTTTGAACTTTATTTTTTAAGTTTAAACACCAAATCCTTAGTAACACCTCATTATTAAAATAATTGTTGATATACATACCTTTAGGATAATCATAAAATTCATCATCACTTTCTGAACTTAAATTCATCAGTAATTCATCACGTTTTCGTTCATTTCGACCACGTTTTCGTTCATTGTAACGATTCAATGATGTAGATGATCGTGAATTGATAAAAACACCATATGGATCATTCATTGTCCCTTTATCACATACCACTCATCAATTCATATATTTTAAAATCAATAATTTATGCGAAAATTTAAATTCAAAAATTATATTTTTACATGTTATCGCATAATGCGTAGTGAATCTTCAACATTCTTTTTTCTTTTTCTTTTTTTTTTTTTTCACTAGACTACAATATTATATAAATGTTGAGTATGAAATTGATAGAAATGAAAAATTATTAGATTTTAAAACATAAGCACACTATTCATTTTTAATTCTCAATAACTTTAAACTCAAACTTACTAATAAATCCAACATCCAATTAATGCAAGAAAAGTGAAATTTAAAAAGAAAAAACAATTTCACTATTAATGTATATGCACTTTTTTTACAGAATAATAAACCACAACAAGATTTTCAACATAATTTCAAATAGTCACTTGAACTGCAATTATCAAATTAATGGATCTAAAATGAGATGGATAAAACAAAAAGAAAAAGAGAAAAGAAATTATTCATCCAGCCAATAAATCAAACAAAACTTTGTCTATGGAAGAAATAAAACAAAAAAAAGAAAAAAGAAAAAAGGAAAAGGAAAAATGAAAATTGAAACGGATGACAACATTTCACTTGTAATTTTAACTTATCTCTAAACATGATCATTTGTACTGGATTAATGTTACTGAACCGGTTTTTCTTTCTTTTTTTACAGATAAACGAATTTAACATTTTTGAAACGACATTGCAAAAGCATTTATTCCATTCATCATTTATTTAAATAAGATAAAAATCTTAACTGGAAATTTAGTTGTATTTCGAATTATACATTTCTTCATTTTGACTTATTTTTTTTTTTTTAATTTATTAGAATTTAATGGAACGGCTTGTTTCACTTACGAATTTGCAATCATTCGGTAAGAGTTTCATAGTGTGACCTTTTTTTCTTGCGGAAACATATTTCAACTATAATTCCAACGATAATTTTATGAAATAGAAATTATGGAGAAAAAACAACTGATTTCATGTATTCTTCCTAAAGAATACATGAAAAAATATCGATGCAACATTTAGGAAATAAACTTTATACGTACGTGAAATGCTCACTTGCATAATTTTGTACGTAAGTGATGACGCTACCACCACCTTAAAAAAAAGTATCATTGCAGTCTGATAATAATTGAACTCTAATAATTCACAGCTTCTAACCTGATGCTTTATCGTCTTCTTCACTTATTGTACACAATGGTGTAGATAAGTATGCAACAAATAAACCTTTGACCTCCGTCACGTATAAAAGGGATATAATCAGTGATGGTAAAAAGTGTCATCGCTCAGTATAAAAAAAAAGTATCAGAAAGAAAAAATACGTAGGGGAAATAATAACAAAATTATTCATATAAGTAGGAATAATTGTGATATCGTTATAGCTTGAATAATCTTTCACGTAATTAACGTAGTGATGCACTTTCCTACATCGATTAAGACATGACGATAACAAGGTTACTAACGTGTAAACAACGCAACCCACGCCCGTGGAACTATTGGCTACTCACCAATTTTCATTTAACCACAACAATTGGCGCCTTTTCATTGGCTGCATCAATCGACCGCAGCAATATTATGAGATGCGATGACAGACATTGAAAGAAACGAGGGGAGATTATATGTATTTAAGAGAGTTAGAGAGTGGACGACTCAATGGAAACTGCAGAGAGACGGACGGGAGGAGACGGGAGGACAACAAAAGGAATAAGAGAGAGAGAGAGAGAGAAAAACTCTTTAAGCATTTTAGGTTTGAAGAACTGACCACCAAAGAGTGCAGAAAAGTTAAAGAAGTTGTGAATTCGTGTTAATCTAATTGAAATTCTCAACATTACAACAGTAGAATGAAGGATTGAATGGAAATGGATGGAAATGAATAAATGAAATTGAATGAATGAATGAATGAATGAATGAATGAATGAAACAGAAACACTGAATTCATTCATTTTCGTTCTCAAAATTATCCAATATTATATATTTGAAAAATTAAACGAAAAGAATTAAACATGAAATTTTAACCAGAAAAGTATATAACCAAAATTTTAACTTAGGATTAATAGCGAATGTTCTCTTTAAAAAATGAAAAAGAAATAATTGAATTGAAATTATCGAAGAAATAAATTTTGCTGTTGAACTCAAAAAAAAAAAAAAAAGAAAGGACATATTATTATTAGTTCTATTCTCTCTCTATATATATATGATATTAGTACAACTGTTACAGCATTTCAATTATAGTAGTATTAATTAATTCAATTCCAATTATAATTTTAAATGATCAATAACAGATATGTGTAACGGAAATATGTTTCAGACAAATTTTTAGATCTTTTTAATATTTTGTGAAAAGCAAGCTGACCGATGTGCTAATCAATTAATCATTCAATGCATTAACTGATCAATTAGTTAGATGAATGAATGGCTAATTGAGTTAGATCAAAAAAATAGAAAAACAGAAAAGCAAAAAAAAAATTTAATAAGGAAATTTAATTTAGGTCAATGAATATGTTGTGAGGTCACTTCAGGTTCACTACTGAAACAATAAATTTCATTTTTTTTTTCTTACAATTCCTTTTCTATCATTGTTTTACTTATTATTCGAATAATTAATTTTATTATCCTATAAAATAAATTTTGATTCTTTTCAACACTTCGAAATTTTGAAGTTCCAAAAATTAAGTTTAAAAAAAAGGACAGAAATTGAATGATGGGCAAGAAGTAATTTGATATGCTCAAAATGATAGTTTAGAGTAATGGCGCGGGTAATATTAGAAAGAAATGGGTTAGATTATAAGTAGTTCAATTTAAGAAGCACTTCCGTTGATTGGTTTAGTAAAATGCTTCTTGGCACATAATTTTTTTTTTATTTTACGGGGGAAAGAGCGTAACAAAGGGACAATAGCCACCGCTGCTCTGCTCATCGTCCAGCTGTCCATTTAGACGGCTACTTTTCACCATTTCATTTATTGTTTTCAAAATTTCCTCCTCTCCCCGACAAGACAACTATTTGTTTAACGATGACCATATCCGTGGCTATTTTAATCGAAGACTGTAAAAATTTATTTTGTCATACAATTTCCAAATGAATTACTCAACATACTGAAAACAAAATTATGAAAAAAAAAATTTTTTTTGAAAATAAAATATAGAAATTTTTTTTTAATGATACATATTAAATGATTAATTAAATTTTAGTTCTACTTATTTAAAGTTTTATAATTAAAACAATTTAAGAATGTGAAATTTTAAGCTTTTGTGACATAGTAATAGCACATTGACATTGAAATTACATTTAAAAAATTACTTACCAAACAAATAATACTGTGCTATATAAGTAAGTATATCATGTAAGCACAGTAACTCTTACAGTGCCATACCATTTATAAAGATTTGGTAAATTACTGAAGCATTTTGTAATAGTAATTCTATTAATGCATGAATTTCAATTTATCAATTTAATTTGCATTAATATTAGGTTGTGGACACCGGTCACTTTCCGGACATTGGGATCCAGAAATAGTAGTGGAATTTCCAATTCAATAGTTTAATAACTCCGATTTTTTATAGCTGCCGCATAAGCAATTAATTTTCCTCAACTAAGAATTGTGGTTATATAAGTAGCAATGAATGCTTTATTATTTTATTTTAAATTTAATTTCAATCTATTATTTTTTCATGCACATTCATTATTAGTTTGTATGTTAAAATACTTTTGAAAATTTACAGAAAATTTGAAGTTGTTATTACACAAATTTTTAATTAAAATTGATCAAATTTCAATTATTAAAACTTTAATCCAATAAATCAAATTTTTATGAATATGAAATTTTAAGCTTTTGGGGCATATTAATAGCATATTGTAATTGAAATTATATAATGATTAACTATAATATTTCATATTTAATCATTACTTAATGCTTGTTATTTTTACTTCATAATGAAATTAAAACTTGAACATTTCTATCAAAATTTATACGACTTATTTGAAATGAAATATGTTGTATTAAGCTTATTTTCTACTGAAACTTTCCATTTAAAATACAAACACGCGCTTCAAATTATTAAACTAAATGTGCAAATTATTTGATTTAAAAAGAAAAAAAAATAAAACAACAACAAAAAAAAGACAAATCAAGATTGCTTGATCATATTGAAGCTTCAGAGAAAGTCATAGGACATCAGCAAATATTATTTAGGCTTCATAAAATTCAAAATATCATTTAAATTTTATCGGTAATTACCAATTATCGGTAGATAATTTGAATGACATATGTGTTGATCATTTGTATGAATGATTTTCGATAGTGCTGTAGTGTCTTACCTAACATTGATTCAAAATTATAAAATAATTTTGAAACAATTATTTAGGTGTTAAAATTAAATACTAATATTGAATAAATGTTCAATGAATTAATTAACTGACTAATTGGTACTGAAAAAAAAATACAATTATCTCCAATGAATGATACACAAATTTTTAAATAAATAGTAAAAATTTTCTTTAAAAAATTAAAACCTTTTTTTCTATTTATTTTGAAGACACTAAGGAAAAATTTGCATTCTGAAAAAAAAATTCATTTTTTTTTACTAAAATTTAGTTGATTAAAACAAAGCTAATAGAACCAAATTCGATTTCAATTTTTCTCTCTCTCACTCTCCTTTTTTTTAAAAAAAACAAACAATCGAATTTTTTTCAAAAATAAATAAATAAATAAACAAAATTTACTACAATTATTTTTAATGAAATGGCATATTGTTTTTTTTTTTCTTTCAACATTTAAATTGATTAAATTTGTAATAATAATTATCAAATAATTATTTTCGAAATTTCAAAGAAAAAAAAACTTTGCAAATATAATTTTAATTAATTTATATATTACACAAATTTTTTTGTCTTCTTGCACTTTGAAATTTTGGGATAAATTTAATTACTTTTTTAAAAGTATGTAGTTATCTACCTGAATGCATAGAAAAGAAAAAAAAACAGA